CAGTGATGGTAATACTGTCAGGCGAGCTACAGTGTACTGTAACTGACACGTCTACTACAGTGTGTCTCATATCAGTGTGTGGTCGTGGTGTAGTAGTTATCATTAATTATCCTACATTACGCGAGTCAATATTCTACAGTGTAAGAGTGTTATACAGTGTACTATAGTAGAAGTGTCTATTATGTAGTGTACTCAGCGAGAAAATCCTGGGATGTACTCCATTGAAAAATTGTTAATTTGAATACAGTTGTGTCAGTGTATTACAGTATAGTACATAATCCGTAATCTACAGTTAAACAAATGTTATGTATTTAAATGCTACTACACTGTCATATTATCCTCAACAGTGTAACACCATATTAAAAACTCCACTATGTATGAATTAGTAATATATCGTAATGGTACAGTGTAAGATGGTCAGCGTAGTGTAGCAGCCATCTTAGTGTATACATAGGTGTTACTGTAGAACAATGTTAGAAGTAGTAATTGTTAGTGTACTAGTGGCAGGCAGGAAGGAAGGGAGGGAGGGAGGCAGGAAGGAAGGGAGGGAGGGAGGGAGGGAGAGAGGGACTTGCAATTGCAGTATGTGGGTTTCAGGACTCATCTGAAGGACCCATTAAAAATTCAATGTTAAAATTCCCCAACACGGAGCTGCTTTCTGGCAACAAGATTCCCTCGCCCCCCTCCTTCCCTCCTCCTGATCTCCCTCTTTCCCTATCTATCTCCTCTCTCCCTCTCCCACCCATACCCCTTCCCTCTCCCTTTCTCGGTGTGATGGTACCGAGTGTTTGTCTACTTGTTGTTTATCTCTTGTTTATGTTGCACCTGTTGATTCTTGTGGCCATTGTCTTGATGGCTGGTTGGTTGGTTGGTTGGTTGGGGGTCTGATTGGTTGTCTGAATGAATGACTTGACTTAGCTGGGTGACTGGGTAAGTTATCCGGGTGATTGGTTACTCGGGATGGGTGACTGGTGACCGTGTTGTGAGTCGCCTTGAGGTGGCCAAATTTTTACCGACTTCCCCCTCTCCCCGCGTGGATTGTTAGCTGTGGCTGTTTCGTTAAGTGATATTGTGTTTCCGAGTGAGCAGCGACGGGTGTTAGTGCTGGCTCATGCTTGTGCCACCCCGCTTATTGTTACCTCAGCGCCTCACCTGCCCGGCACACAATGGTCTTCCGCTCACCACGTAGACTCACACCGGGACACTGATCACACACGCGTCGAAGCTGGTGTATAGTCAATATATATATATATACCTTATATATATAATAGAAAAGGTGATTCTTCATGGATATATAGATGTGGTCAGGCTGTCCTTCGTCACCACGTAGGAAAGTGATCCTTCACTGATGCTCTTTGATGCCCTCTGGTGTCTTTGGGTCACTTGTGGTAACATTTTTCGTCACCCGGCCAACAGTTAACTTTAGAATGTATTTAGGATTAAGATGATGTGGGAACTTACATGTTGTGTGTGTATGTTGATGGGGGAATTAATTGAGGCTGGTGGATGTATTTATATAGACTTGGTGTTGTATAATCTTCAACATTTTGCTGGATTGTTCTATAATTCCAGTTGGTGGAACGTGACGTAATTTAGAACAGGGAGGAATCGGGATATATTCCTTATACCGCTTCGCCAGGTTGTTGGACATTGTCGATTGTATATGGGTAGATAGCCACCACAGGAATGGAACACAATCAAAGACTTGCTCGTCGTGTAACGTGGCTTGTCACTTTCACCTTGATCGATGTCTTACACATTTTTTCCCCGTTCTGCATCGAGTTCCCGGGAAATAGAATATCTGGTGAATTGTTTGACTCATGTCGGGGGATTTTCACCAATACAAATTCTAATTCTATTTACTCTGGGAATCTTTTTATGTGATGGTAATGTGGTGAGGGAGGCGGAGTGAGTCACATGTCAATAGTTGGTGTAGGTCTTGGTGGCCTCTATAAAAGATTTATTAACGTCATGGACTATGCAGATGCCGTGACCAGCACTCCATACAACTTACTGCCTCAGTGTATGGTGTTACCTTGGCTACCCCCATCACCATGACATCCTGAGTGGCGCCTGTACTGCTGAACTGTGTGTACGTACTCCGTTAAATAATAAAAAATAAATACAAAAATATCATTGATTTGACAGAAAGTTTATCGATGTTTATAGTTGGGTGACACACACACAGGTGGCGGTCAATACTGAGAGGCGCCACACTCTTGTCTACCCTCGTCTAAGTTGTAGGTCTTGCTTTTGTTGTCTTTGTACGAGCAGTTTATCTTGGTCTGTGTTTATAGCTGAGTTGTGGATAGATCAGTGTGAGTCAGTACAGTACAGGTGAAACATGCGCAGTGTACAGTAAAGACGAGTTGTTTTTGTATGTAAATTAGCCAACTGTACCTCACGTATTGAACACACGAAAGAATATCTCTCTCAGGCCAGTTCTGATACTGAATTACCTCTATATATTTCTAGTGACTTTTGGAAAGCTCACTATTTTGTTTGTTTTTGTGCTAATTGAAATTCTTACAGTTCAATATAAACAAACTCGTGTCTGGCAGCTTAATTCGTGTTCAGAGTTAGTGTGTAGTTTACCTGTACAGTAATTAAAGGTGTGTTTTTTATTGATCAAAGTACACCCATCTCTAACCCTGTGTAGTAGAGGAGTTACTTATTCTCCTGATTATTTGTGTCCTGTGTTGAGAGTGTGAAAGCTGGTAAGAGGCGATGTTTGATCATGTTCTTAACCCTGTGATGTATTACCAAAGTGGCACATATGTTTTTCCCCACAACTAAAAATTACCAGATTTCTATTGTGTTAAAATTAAGACAGTTGGATCATGGATGTGTCTTTGTGGATAAATTTTAGTCTAGTGTGTGGGGACGAGGAGAAAGGTGGTCGTGTTGTGGTGGTTGGAGGGGGTAGTGTGTTTGTGTGGGGGGAGGGGGGGTTATTCCTGGTAGTGTAGTGGTGTAGGGAGGGACCAAGGACACGACAACCACCCCATTATGACACCCATATTGATTGTCAATATGGCTACGTCCGCTAACCCTCCCACACACGCTACACAATCTTAAGAAAATGTTACAAGACTTACCAGACGTTTGTTTACTAGCAACAATCTCTAATTATAGTTCGTGTTATGTGCTACAGTCAAGTTAGGTTAGGTTAGGGTAGGTTAGGTTATACTGAGAGAATGAAACTAATACCCGCGTTTCATCATTGTCCCACGACCACTGCCTGAAGGACACACCCCTACGTCATACCAATCACAGTGTCGAGTTTGCGCGATGCTTTTAATAAATCCCTATACATTTTCGTCTTCACATTTCGCCATAAATATGTTGACCTTAAAACACACAAAAAAACCCTCTGGAAAGGCTTATTGGATGTGGTATGTGGGTAGGGATCTAATGAGGGGCGGTGATAGCAAGAGTAGCTGTCTCCTCAACCATCGGCAGGCAACACACATTAAAAAAAAATCTAATATACAGGAGTTCGTTGTAGTGAGAATAATTGAGTTAAGAGAGAGAACCAGTGATTAACAAGTAGGATGGAGAGAGAGGGGGGGGTGGTGGGCTAGACTCGTGGACCTATACACCGCTAGTACCACTGTGACAACTCTTTCTGCCTCACTTGTAGATCTCTAATTATCACTCTAGTATCATCATGTCCCCAACTTAGTAATTTAAGCCTTGTAAACTGATTATAAATTAAGCCTTGTAAACTGAATGTAAACTAAGCGCTGTAAACTGAATGTAAACTAAGCCTTCACATTTTCCCTTGATCATGGTTATATTATATGCTTGCTTCTTCACCATCGTTTGAGTTAAGATATCAAATAAACCAACATCAGAGTCTACAAATTCCACGAATATAATATAATGGTTGGCGGTGAGTGACGTAAACGGCGAGGTCTGCAAATCCACTTGACTGTACACTCAACACGCTGGCTGGCATCACTGGCGGCTTAACACTATAAAATAATTTAACTTTTTTTAAACAGTTTTTATCATTATGGTGAGCAATATTTTCTTTGTCGTGTTTTTTTTTAAAGATGGTGAGAGAGAGAGAGGGGGGGGGGGCGGGTGTTATGTTTACATCAGTGACAAGAAATATTGTTCTTGGATCTTTGTTAATATTTATCAACAAATATTTGGACCTTCTCGATATTTTCCTGTTGGTTTAGTAGTTGTTAATATGTTATTTACGATATTCACTAATATATAGATTGTATTTTCTACTCGGGGATCAAAAATGGGTGATCAAGGATAATTTTACGTCTAAAAATAGAACGACAAGGTTTCGAGTAATTGTTTACAGTTATAACCTTGAGTAGTTGTTCCAGCAGCAGGAGTGGCATTACGTCCCTCTCAACCCACAAGTGAAGGCTGCAGTCATACCACCACCGCGGGGATACCATGCTGCTACCACTGACTCATAACGTCATTCTATAACATTACTCGGCTCACATATTTTGGAGAAGAAGAACGAACAACATCCTGAGGAAGTTATATTTATGTTTCCTAGTTCTGACTTACTGAAGAACTGACATTTGTATTCACGTTATGAGAGTTGAAGTTGACTGGAAATGTCTTGATTTAAAAGATATTGTGGCATTCATAAGATTTACAGCTAGTTTCCTCAGTTACTTTAAAATGGGAATCATTCAATGTTCCCCACAAGATAATCAGCAGTATTTTTTAGGACTTTAAAAGGCAAGTTGCGTGTACCTTGTAGCGCCATATATGGAATCACCAATGTATGTAGCTGTATAGTTGACATTAGTATCGTCATTAGTGGTAAGATATAACCGTAGAGTGTCAGCGTTGTTTACATTCTCCTTTTGGGGTAAAGGTTTAGCAGTTGTTAGTGTAAATGAATAGTGAATAAACACTGTTAACACGTGTACTGTATAGTGTCATTCGTGCCGGTGTGATGGCTAGATGGTATTTAAGTTTTATCCATTGTCTTCTTAAAGATAACAGATGTATCATCTTTACCGATAATGAAAGGTTGATAATGATAAGTTGACGTACAATATTATTATTGTTGTCACTACCAAGTATGTGACCTTCAGACAGACAATAAGCCTGAGTGTAACACAGTGAGCTGGCGCTGGTGGAGGTGTGAGGACGGAGTGAGCGTTAACAACATAGACGAGAGACAACAAGGCTGTTGTGACAGGTGGTGGACGGTGGTGATGGCCGCCACGCCCGGACATCTGCAGGTTAAGACGGCTGGTATAGTGTGGGAGGCGGCGGCCGTGTCCTCCCTCCCGTAGTGGCTGGGATGGGCGGCCGCTGCAGTAGGGCTGATCACATAGAAGACAACAACTGGATGTTATCCCCCCCTGCCGCCCACACCGTCCAGGGCTCAAGCCAGCCGTCCCTAAAGTCCATGGCTGTAGTGAACTCCCCAGTCCAGTGTGTTGCTCGTCCCTCAGCTCTTCACTATGGCTCTCGCATCACCCCCTGTGACCTGACTCAGGTGAACGTTAGCCCAAGTAACGTACATGAAGTATGGACCTCCCACCATGCTCAGACTGCTGCTGCTGACGTCTGGCAACTGAAGGATGTCACAGACGTGCCCTCCGGTGACCCTGGCACTGTTATCTTGGATCATCACATCGGTATTGATAAGTGTCAACAGCGACGGCCTCGAGGGTTAACTAGCACACCTCAGCCCACCAGCCCTTGTCACCGTGGAGGCCCATGGCTCAGAGAGGCGGATACTGTTTCCTATAGCTGTAACAATCGGCGCTGTCCCGGCTTAACACCCAGCCCGTCCACAACGAGCAGCGTGTCGCGCGCCCTCATGCCGGCCGTCACCAACACTGGCAGCCCCGTCATGCCTACAACCTTGAGGCCACCTCTTGCCCATAACCACAACCCCTCTACCTCACCACTATACACTGCTGACGCTCTTGTTAGTACTAGTGAAAATATGAAAGTTCCTGAGGATGATAAAATAACCTGTAATGTAAAATCGAACCTTTGGGAAAATGATGATAGTGAAGTGAAACGGACATCAAGAGTGTGTGTTTGTAGTGCCAGCATCTGTGAATCGTGTACAAACAGCGTCAGCGACAGTCCTAAGAGGTCCGAGGGAAGATGTGGTCAGGGTGTGGCAGAGTGCAGGGGTGTGGCCTCGGTCCTCGCCCTGTCTGCTGCTGAAGAAGAAGACCCGGTTGACCAAGAGGCACCAGTGACCACCAGGGCCCAGACGGCTCACGTTAGGTCTCGGGTCAACCAGCGGGTGTCTTTACCAGAGGCACCTGACCACCGGGTAGAGAAAGGAGTGTATGTTAATGGTAACCAAGAACACGGCCACGCCACTTCCCTCCGCCTCACACGTTCCCTCTGGTGGGATCAGTTCCTCACACACTTCCTGCGGTAAGATCCTTTACTAACTCATGTACGTGTGTCGGGCTGTATTTCTCAATTTAATTACACATTATAAATTTACCCCCTTTGTATAGTAAATCATTTCTGTAGACACATGTTACCTGTCTCTACTCCAGGTGTTCCTAAGAATGTTACCTGGAAGGAAATGTTTTTGGAAATAATAATTAGTGTATTTCATAAGTAAAAGATCTGGGACTGTTACCTGTGTGTGTGCCAGAATTTATAGAAATATTAGAATTTCTTGTGGTAAAAGAAGCAAATATTAATTACACCTCAGCATTTAAGTTTTTTTTTATCAGATTCAAGTATAAACATGTTTTTTGTAATGATTTTTTCGGAGTACAAAATCACTAATGTGTTTTGAGATGCATTATGTTATTAGAAGCTTTTATGTCTCCTTTGATCTCTCGTTTCAACTAATGACCAGATCACTGTGTATTACATCTACATCTCACCTTATCTCACGTGCGTGGAGCAGTGATAAGCATTACCAAAGGTCAGGTCTGGCTAGTTTAGTTTAGGTTAGGTTGGGTTAGGTGAGGTTAGGTTAAATTGCCTAGATTTATTTATTCAAACGTACCGATGCATCAAATATCCGGCCAAAATAATTCAGCGTCATTGTACTCAAGGGCTTAAGTCATTGTACTCAAGGGCTTAAATCATCGTACTCAAGGACTTAAGTCATTGTACTCAAGGGGTTAAACCATACATTATTACACAACTATTTAAACACAAATTTTACAATAAACCAGTCGTCGTCACAAAGAACATGGTGTGTGACTGAAGCCTTGACGACGATAACAGTTGCCAAGGATTAAAGATAACATGATGTGGACGCCGTGACGAGCACTGGCGAGAGACATTACAACATCCACCATGATAGGGCGGCAGACCATGACCTCAGTAGGAAACCCTTGTCATTGTTGGGTATTTTTCAGACCGTCAAACACTAAATATCCTGGTAAGTTTCCCTAGTCACTTGTAAAGATATTTGGTGTTTTTGGGGGGGGTTTTTTGTACAGCAATTGTTGAATATTCCTAGTATCTGTGGTGGGTGGGGGTGGGGGAGTTACTAGTTGATTATACTTGTGATATACGCAAGTTAGGTTAGGTTAGGTTAGGTTAGAGGAATATATCAAAGCATTTCAACTAGTATTTCAAATTTTAAAAACAGGATAAGTAATCTTTTTTTTTTACTTTAATGATGGAGTGCTCAGTTAATAAAATTTTTAGTCGCTATTCACTATTTTTCCCCAGAGAGTGATGTAGTGGCCAGAGACAACCGAACCTAACCTACCCAACCCAGTCAGGAGAAAAACATGTGGTTAAAACTCTCACAGTAATTCCTGGGTGACATGCACAAGTCTTCTACACTGCATCACGCACTGTTTTGTTTGACCAGCCAGGGGTACATAAACTAGCATACTGTGTTAGTTTGTCCGTGCGTTTATGCCCAGCTAATGGTATAAAATGGCATATAGTGTTAGCTTGTCCGTGCGTTTATGCCCAGCTAATGGTATAAAATGGCATATAGTGTTAGCTTGTCCGTGCGTTTATGCCCAGCTTATGGTACAAAATGGCATATAGTGTTAGCTTGTCCGTGCGTTTATGCCCAGCTAATGGTATAAAATGGCATATAGTGTTAGTTTGTCCGTGCGTTTATGCCCAGCTAATGGTATAAAATGGCATATAGTGTTAGCTTGTCCGTGCGTTTATGCCCAGCTAATGGTATAAAATGGCATATAGTGTTAGCTTGTCCGTGCGTTTATGCCCAGCTAATGGTATAAAATGGCATATAGTGTTAGCTTGTCCGTGCGTTTATGCCCAGCTAATGGTATAAAATGGCATATAGTGTTAGCTTGTCCGTGCGTTTATGCCCAGCTAATGGTATAAAATGGCATATAGTGTTAGCTTGTCTGTGTGTATATACCAGGTGGCTTATCCTAAATACTCTCAGGTAAATGTATGTTAATGACTAAATACTCAGGTAAATATATGTTAATGACCTTTACAGCGTCACATCACAAGTAGGTCGTTTTATAATTTAATATTTGCGTTGAACTCACTTTAGGGAGTTAACCATTTGCGGTCAGTGTACAAAGAGGGACATCCTTGTTTATCTACGAAATTATCTGGTTTAATGTGTATAATATATATGGCATGTTGGTGTTGGTGTTGGTGGTAGTGATGGTGGGTGATGGTAGAGATGGTTGTTAGGTTGGTGTGTGTGTGTGTGTGTGTGTCACGGTGGGTGGACTTGACTGAATATATTGTTCTGATTGATTGGCGTTTTCGTGGTGGGATTTCTTGTTGCGTGACAATATATTTTACGCTCTACTTGCGTGAATGGCCGCTTGCTGTTGCACCGGGCCGTGTACTCCCCTATCACTATACGCACCAATTATTTTATTTTACTTTTAAATTCAAGGTTCACTTATTTTTATCATAGCGTTGGTGATGGTGAGTGGAATAGTGGAACCTCTGCCTCACCCACCCACCACTCAGGCCCGCCCACTCACCCACACCCACCCACCGCCCACACCCACCCACCGCCCACTAACACCTTTCGCCTCCCAGAACCTCAATATTGTGTTATAATGTCTCTCTCTCTCTCTCTCTCTCTCTCTCTCTCTCTCTCTCTCTTTCCTTTCTTCCTGAGAGGCACCATCAGTAACGTTGGTATTACGGAAAAGGAAATATCTGAGATGGGGTAAGAGGCGGAAAACTACTGGGCATTGTTTACCTGGTGTGGTGGGTGGGTGTGTCCCTTTACCTCCCTCCCTCCTCCATTCACCCCTCCTCCCTCCATTCACCCCCTCCATTCACCCCCCTCCTCTCCATTCACCCCCCCTCCATTCACCCTCCCTCCATTCACCCCTCCCTCCATTCACCCCTCCCTCCATTCACCCCCTCCATTCATCCCCTCCCTCCATTCACCCCTCCCTCCATTCATCCCTCCATTCATCCTTCGTGTGTGTGTGTGTGTGTGTGTGTGTGTGTATAGTTAGAACAAATCGTTTTAAAAGATAATGAATGAACCAATACATATACAGTCCATGATGTGTGATTCGATAATGTTACCAGTGATGAATAACAGTTGTGTTGCGTTGTGTTTCGTTGTGTTGTGTTGTCCAAATATAGGTAAAGACACAAACTATATTAAAAGAAGACAATGGAAGACAAGACGATGAAGGCAAACAATTAATATATAGATAGAGTGATGTAATCCGCTGTTATGGTAATATATAAATAATATAGTACTAGTAGTGTTATAGGGGAAAATACGTAGTGAAATATATTAGGAAATCGATACCGGATATCTATTTGATACGAATTATTTAACTACAACGAAATTGACTTCCTGGATGTAAAAATATAATACACGTGTAAGACTCGTGTACATTTAACCTATTGTGAAGCTCTCTGTACAAAGAATATGTCATGACCCCTCAGATGGGCAGTGTTCGTCTACCTGGTAAATCCCAACCTTAAGTAAAAGTTATAAGCTGTACGTAGGGGTTTATTATTAAGTAATGTCGACTGAATTTACCAAGAGTTGATATATTTTTTTTTTCGTTAACTGTTCGTCTCTGGGTATTTCAAGACAGCGACCTTCTTCTTCTTCTTCTTCTTCTTCTTCTCACCTTCCTCTTCTTTCTTATTCTCCCCTTCGTTATCTTCCTATTTCTTCTCCCCCCTCCTTCCTCCTCATCCTTCTCCCCTTTCGTCTTTTCCCACTCCTCCTCATCTTCTACCACCTCCTCCCCACCACCCACCTCCCCTTCATTATACACTATCAGGAAAACATCTTAATACAACAACAACCACCACTTTATACACGTAACACCCAGTATTAACTTTTACTTCATACGTTCTGATGTAACAGATATATATTTATTTATTTCCCCCTTTCTATATATATTTTTTCCCCATAATAATATTTTCCTAGTTTGGGGTAACTGTTTTAAGTGGAGAAAACGTTTAGCCTCTCTCTATAAATCTTGCAGCATCATTTCTACCTGAAGTATTATGCCATATTAACACTGAATGGTAAACAAAGCAATGTGATAAGTTAAGGTTGGATATTGTGGGGGTTTTTTTATCACCCTGTATTTACTATTGTTTGGGGGTGTTTTTGGTACCACCCTGTGTTTAGTACCTCTTGTATGGCATCACTGTGACCTTATTTCTTCAGCGGGTGGAACACAACTGTCCTGTCATCTGGCTACTGTATATTATGCCACCACACGACTCACCTGGTCTCCACCTGTCCATTCTTGGCTCTAGTTGTTCTGTCATGATGGGAAAGGCTGGATGACTATAAGGATGACAGGGAGGAAAGGTTAGGAGAGGGGGGTAGGGAGGGAAGGTGAGGGGGGGTAGGGAGGGAAGGCGTTATGATTGGGGTGAAAGGTATTAGTGGTGCTAGTGCTGTCCTCCCCTCCCTGTATCCAGCCTTGATCAGTGTCATGCTCTGCCTTTCTCCGGCCTTGACACCCACCCCACCGCGACTGTTACCTCTCCCTGACACCACTACCACCCCACCCCTGTGCCCCTGCCTCTCCCTGATACCACCACCGCCCCACCCCTACCCCTGTTGCCTCTCCCTGACACCACCATCACCCCTACCTCTGTTGCCTCTCCCTGACACCACTACCCCACCAGGAGACTTGTCCTCTTTACACACCACTATCACCCCTACCCCTGCTGTCTCTCCCTGACACCACTACCCCACCAGGAGACTTGTCCTTTTACAGTCAAACCCACTCTGATCTGTTGGCATGACTTGACGGTTTATTTCTTACCCTCCTTGGTCTCCTTTGGTGTCTCTCCCAATACACGTTTAGGTGAGGTTAGGTTAGGGGAAGGTTAGGTTAAAGAGTTTGGCTTTATGTTTGGTCAGGTTTAATTACGGTTTAGTATTTGGTTTAGGATTTTTTTTTTGCTCAGTTTAATGTTATTTTAGGTAAGACTCGTCCAGTACGTGT